AAAAAAAAAAAAAAAAAAAAAAAAAAAAATTCATGGAAAGACTTGTATTATCTTTTAATTCTATTTTTCCAAGAACTTTTTGAAGTACCTTCGTGTACCCTTTGTAGCCTGCCATATGTAGAGTAAAAACTGCAATATTTTCTACAAATAGTAATTTGGATTGGTAATTAAAAAGAGGCAACAAAAACTTCTTTATCTGTTTTCCTTTCCTATTTGAGTGAAATGAGGGGAAGATGAGCTCCAAAGCCAGATTAGAAGAACTAACCTTAGAAAAGAGGAGGTGTTTTTTTTCTACTGTTAATAGGAGGGAAGGAGGAAAAGAGGGGTGAAGTTGTAGCTAAATTAGTGTATACCTATAGTAGGAGATAGACTTTAAAAGAGGGGTACAAGGTACTAATATAAAATATACATATATATTATATACATATGTATTATATGTTATAAATAATATATAGTATACACACAGAAATAGTGTTGGATGTATGTGTGTGTGTGTATCAGTATACATACATGTATAACCTAGCTTCATCTGCTGAGAAAGCCTAGAAGCATTGACACTCCAGGAGCAATGAGTGTGGTGAGCACCTTGATCTTGGTTTCTAAATACCATCCTCCACTAAAAGGAACCAGAGAAATGGCTGACTACAGAGCTGTGGCAGGGCAAGTAAAAGATGAGTCTGGAACATCTTCCTGTTCCAGAAAGTAAGAAATGCTCAATAAATTGAGGAAATGTCAAATGGACATAGAAATCAAGGTGAAGGGCTCCCACTGGCCAAATTAAAAACATTTTGAGCATCAAAATAAATAATATTAATGAATAACAACCCACTAAATAAGATAGGAATGAATAGATAAATGAATAAATAGATACAAGGGTACTTCAAAAAGTTTGTGGAAAAATAGAATTGAAAGATAATATGAATCTTTCCATAAACTTTATTATTATTTCGGGGGGGTGGCTGCCTGGTACAGTGATCCAAACCCTTGACCATGGTGCTTGGTGTTAATCAGCACCATGCTCTAACCAAGTGAGCTAATTGGCCAGCCCCTCCAAGAACCTTTTGAAGTACCTTTGTAAATGTGAGGAGATGTAAAAGCTCTTCCTTATAGCAGCCAACTAAGAAAGAAAGAATGACTGCAATGGGGAATCACCATTTAGTGACTATCACGATGTGGTAAATTCAGGTAGAAGTCATCAATAGTAAGGCTAATAACTGCAGGTTGGATAGGGAACAAGATACTGTCATTATGTTAGAATACCTTCCCACATTGGGAGAACATGCTGCTGATAACACCAAGATCACAGGTTTGGATCCCCATTCCAGCCAGTTGCCAAACAAACCCAAAAAAAACAAAAAACAATTCTACCCTCCTTTCTCTCTTCTTAAAATAGAGGTGTACTTTCTCCAATACCAGGCTAATTCCTCCAAAACAGCTTTGAAGCTCATCCCATTCAACATTCCCACAAATCTTAAAGCTATCAATCATTCTTTCTCTCATATATTCAACTTCTCCGCAGTCCTTCTCTGTGACTTTTTTTTTTTTGTCTTTTGTCTTTTTCCGTGTCCGGCAACGGATCGCAACCCTCAGTGTTGCCCCCGTACCGGACCAGGGACCGGCAACGGGATCGCAACCCTCGGCGCTGCTCCCGCGCCTCGCTCAGCCAGTGAGCGGGAACCGGTCTGTACGTGGGATCCGAACCCTCGAGCGGGAGCGCCGCCGCGCTTCCCAAGCGGCGCACTATCCAGTGCGCCACCGGGCCGGCCAAAGAATGTGACTTTTAAAAATGATCAAATCTTGGGGCCGGCCCATGGCTCACTCAGGAGAGTGCAGTGCTGATAACACCAAGGCCACGGGTTCGGATCCTATATAGGGATGGCCGGCTCGCTCACTGGGAGAGCACGGTGCTGACAACACCAAGCCAAGGGTTAAGATCCCTTTACCGGTCATCTTTATAAAAAAAAAAAAAAAAAAAAGAAATAAAAATAAAAATGATCAAATCTCAAATAAATAAATAAATAAAATCTCTCTCATTAAATTAAAAAGAAAAGATCCTGATTCAATCTTTATTGAGTCAGTCTCTCCAATTACTACCCTGTCTTCTCTTCACAACCCAAATTCTCAAAGTTGTCTATCCTGACTATTTGCTTACATTTGTCATTCCTTAACCCACCTCACCATAGCTTCCAGCCACACCACTTAAATAATATTAAACATTTAAGGCAAAAAATAATATCAATTCTACAAACATTCCTAAAAAATAGAAGGGAACACGTAACAACTTGTTCTTGAGCCACCAAAACCAGATTAAGGTATTACAAGAAACTATATATCTATACTCCTCATGAATGTAGACATAAAAATCTTTTACAGAGATTCAACAAGTTGAATTCCACAACATATAGAAAGGCTAATCAATCACTAACAAATAAAATTTATCCCAGAAATGCAAAATGGTTTAACATTGGAAAAACCAATCAATTGTAATTCACCACATTAACAGAATAAAGGAGAAAAATCACATGATCATCTCAACAGATGCAAAAAAAAAAAAAAAAAAAAGCATTTGCTAAAATACAACAGCCCAGCCACACACCCCTGCACATCCATATCTAGCCGAGCCACTGGAAGCAAACTGAGCTCCAGAGCCAGGTCAGTGAGGGGCTGAAGGCCTCAGCCTCCCAACACCACGCCCATGTCTGCATCCAGCCCAGTCACAACCCAGTCTTCACCAAATGTCCCCTGGGCTCCCCTGCCAGAACGAGGGGGGTGCCCTGGGCCTTCACCATGCCCCACTTCTCTTCTTCTTACCCTATCCCCCTCCCTCCCAATTGCTCCACATCATCTTAGAATGTCAAAAAATAATAATAAATATATTTTTAAAATAAATAAAATGAAATAAAGTACAAAAGCCATTTCATGATTAAAAAAAAAAACAAAAAACCTCTCAGCAAACCAAGAATAAGACATCATGAAAATACTACAGCTAACATCGTACACTTAGTGGTACAAGACTGAATGCTTCCCAGCTATGATCAAGAACAAGACAAAGATGTCCAGGGCCGGCCCGGTGGCGCACTGCTACAGTGCGCCGCTTGGGAGCGCGGCGGCGCTCCCGCCGAGGGTTCGGATCCCACATACAGACCAGTTCCCGCTCACTGGCTGAGTGAGGTGCGGGCGCAGCACCGAGGGTTGCGATCTCGTTGCCGGTCCCGGTCTGGTGTGGGCGCGACACTGAGGGTTGCGATCCGTTGCCGGACACGAAAAAAGACAAAAAGGAAAAAAAAAAAGACAAAGATGTCCAAATTCACCACTTATTTTCAAAATTATACTAGAGGTCCTAGACAATGAAATTAGGAAAGAAAAATAAGTAAAAGAACATAAAGGTTGGAAAGGAAGAAGTAAAACAATTCTTATTTGCAATTGATATATTAAAAATATATCATTTAAAAATGTGCATTAAAAATCCTAAGGACGGGCTGGCTGGTTAGCTCATTTGGTTGGAGCATGGTGTTATAACACCAGCGTCAGGGGTTTGGATCTCCATACAGGCCAGCTGCCCAAAAAAAAGAAAAATGCAAAGAACCTGGAATAGACAAAACAATCTTGAAAAAGAAGAACAAATTTAAAGGTCTATACATGACCTGATTTAAAGACTTGGTACAAACCTACAGTAATTAAAGCAGTGTGGTGTTGGTGTAAAAACAGAGAAATAAATCAATTAAATAGAACAGATAAATCCTGCACTTTTACAATTAATTTTCAACCAATCAAACCATAAATGAAAAAAGTTGATAAATTGGACTTTATAAAACTTCTGCTCTTCAGAAAACACAACTAATGAAAAGGTAAGATACAAACTGAAATCATATATTTGCAAAACATATATTTGAGGGCCGGCCCGGTGGCGCACTGGAGAGTGCGCTGCTTGGGAGCATCGCGGCGCTCCCGCCAAGGGTTCGGATCCCATGTGGAGACCGGTTCCCGCTCACTGGCTGAGCGCGGTACGGGCGCAGCACCGAGGGTTGCGATCCTGTTGCCGGTCCCTGGTGCGGGCTCGACACCGAGGGTTGCGATCCCGTTACCGGTCAGTAAAAAAGACAAAAAGGAAAAAAAAAAACCAAAAAACATATATTTGACAAAGGACTTGATTGAGAATATATAAAGAACACTCATAACTCAACAAGAAGACAAGTCAATATAAAAAAGGGCAAAAGATTTCCCTAAGAAAGATATACAAATGGACAACAATCACATGAAAAGAGGCTCAACATCATATGTCAGGAAAATTCATGTTAAAACTACAATTAGATACTTCTACAAACCCATTCAGATGGATAAAATTAAAAAGATGGAGGGGCCGAGCCCATGGCGTGCTCGGGAGAGGGCGGCGCTGGGAGCGCAGCAGTGCTCCCGCCACAGGTTCAGATCCTATATAGGGATGACCGGTGCACTCACAGTGCTCACTGGCTGAGCGCGGTGCGGCCGGTCTCAAAAAGGACAAAAAAAAAAGATGGACAAAAAGTGTTATAGCCATACAATGGAATACTACTCAGCAAAAATATAAAAACTACTGATATATTTGACAACATGGATAAATTTCAGAATCATCATGCTGATTGAAAGAAGCCAAACACAAAAGAATATACACCATATGATTTCATTAATATAAAATTCTAGAAAATACAAATTAGTATACAGAAAAAGAGACTGGTGTTTGCCAGAGCTGGGGCCAGAAGGAGGAATGGACTACAAAAGAGCACGAGGGTATGAGGGATATCCGGGGTAATGGAAATAATTCAGTGTCCTGATTGTCGTGGTTTTACTGTGTATACATCTGACAAAGCTCACCAAAATGTATACTTTCCATGGATATGGTTGACTGTAAATTATACCTCAATAAAGGTCATAAATTAATTAAAATTAAATTAATTGATTAAAAACAAACAAAAAACCACAGTGATATACCACTACAAACCCATTAGAATGACTAAAATTAAAAAGCCTGGGACTGGCTGGTTAGCTCACTTGGGGTGCTGGTAACACCAAGGTCATGGGTACAGATCCCCATACTTGGGAAAACAGTTTGACAGTTTCTTAAAATGTTAAACATGCACCTACTTAATGACAGAGCAATCCCACTTCTAGATATTAACCCAAGAGAAATAAGAACACTTGTCCACACGTGTGTATAAGAATGTTCATAACAGCCTTTTTAATAATAGCCAAATGCTGGAAATAAACAAATTGTAGTAAACCAATATAAGGAATACTACTCAGCAATACAAAGGAACAGACTACTGATACATTACCTTGACTGAAAGAAGCTAGAGACAAAAGTATACTTATTGTATGATTTCATTTAATTGAGATTCTAGAAAAGGCAAACTAATCTATTTCAACAGAAAGCAGATCAGAGGTTGCATGAAATTGGGCAGGGATTAACTGCAAAGAGGCACAGGGAACTTTTTTGAGAGAAATGAAAATGATCTGTCTTTACTGCAGTGGTAATGACACAGAAATAAACATTTCTTAAAACCCAAACTGTTTACTTAGAATGGATGCATATTATTGTACAGAAAAATGTGTCTGTGTGTGCACACTAAGCAAAAGTAACCAGACAGAGAAGAACATATATATGAAGCTTAGATGAAGTTCTAGAACAGACAAACCTAATCTATGATAATAGAAATAAGAATATTGGTAACATTTGTCACGATGCTGGTAGTGGGGATAATATAAAAAGAGTACACGTAACCTTTCTGGAGTTAAAAGAAAGATTTTATATCTTAATATGATGCACTTGTCAAAACTGTATACTTAAGTTTTATGCATTTAACAATATGTAAGTATGCCTCAATAAAACTGAAACAGAAAAAATAACCTGAACCCATGATGTCTCTAAACCGGGACTTCTTTTATTGTGCCATTGAGTTGGATAAATCAGAGCTTACGTGTCATCCTTACACCTTCCTCTCTCCTACCTCAATATGCCAAATCAAATTAACCATCAAGGGTTTTTGAATTTATCTCCTAAAATCTTTTCGTACATCATCTCCAAAACCTTACTCCTCACCTCCATCATCTCACACCTGGACTTCTACATCCACTCTAACCTATCTTCTATTCCACTTTTTATACATTAGCTAGATTCATCCAGCAGGCAGATTAAATTTTCAAAATCCATATCTATGTCCATACTCATGTTTAAAATCCTTTGGCTGCTTCTTATTGCTCTTAGCATAATGACAAAATTCTTTAACATAGCCTCTGAAGACCTATGTTGGCTGTCATCCACCTCTCTAGCTTAATGTCACATTCCTCTCATCCTTGCTCTCTGTGCTCAAGTCACACTGGCATTATTCCATCTTTGGTATTTACCAGGCTCCTCCAGCTATAGAGACTTTGCACAGACTGTTCCCTCTGACTGGAACACTGCTCCTATCCCTGATGAACTCCTGCTCATCCTTTAGATGTCAGTTCAGGTGTCATTTCCTCAGTGAAGCCTTCCTCGACCAGGCCAAACCTCCTTAATATAAACTCTAGTAGAATTTTGTACCTCTCCCTAGCACAACTATAATTTTTCACTTGTTGGACCAATAATTGTTTAATCATAGATTGCCTTCCCTCTAGACTATAAGCCTCAAGAGGACAGGGAATGTGTCTTGTCTTGTTCCCTATAATATCCCTAGTACCAAAAACAGTGCCTGGTACATAGTAGGAATTTAAACATTTATTAAATCAAGTTTATAATCAGCTTTTTTGTAGTTTTGGTTTCCTTGTTTATTATTCTGCTATTTTGTCTAGAGATGACCACAAAGCATTTGCAAAAAAACCAAGATATTCAAACAGCAGTTGTGAAATTATCAATATTGTCATTTTTAAAATGGACTTACTAAAGCTTCAAATGATAATTTACATGCCTTCTCATCAAAGTAAACAAATAAATATAAAATGCATTCTATAAAGTATTCTGACATTTAAAAATTTGTATTGGACTGACCTGCTTTCATCAAAACCAAGGAGAGGATCAGCTGTTTTTTGAGCCTTTCTGGTAAGAAATAAAGGAGCGACTTTCATTTTTCCTTAGAGAAATAAATACTTAGGTTAGTATCAATATTTATCATCTCCACTTACCTTCAGCTACTTTCAAAATTATATCTTAATTTGTTTAAATTTTAAAATTTCTATATAATGATCTCTTCTCTCAACCTGGCAATATCAGAGTCTCCTGATAAAAAAAAGTTCTCCGGAACTTTTTTTTTTTTTTTTTTTTTTTTTTTTCTTTTTCCGTGTCCGGCAACGGATCGCAACCCTCAGTGTTGCCCCCGTACCGGACCAGGGACCGGCAACGGGATTGCAACCCTCGGTGTTGCTCCC